CACATACACTCACCTTTACTGGCTCCACCCCTGCCTCTTTGACCTGTCTGTCTCCTCTCCACCTATCTTCTCTTTTATCCATCTTCTATCCGCCTCCCCCTCTCTCCCTATTTATTTCAGAATCCCCTTCCCCTCCCCCATTTCTGAAGAAGGGTCTAGGCCCGAAACGTCAGCTTTCCTGCTTCTCTGATGCTGCTTGGCCTGCTGTGTTCATCCAGCTCTACACCTTGTTATCTCTGTATCCAACTCTTGTCTGTTTGTTTTGCTTCTTATTGCTGCCCCAGTTTATTGGAAAGTAATGTTGAAATGGGGATTTGTAATTAAGTCCAGTTCTGTGCATTTTGAGGCAACTAACGAGTCCACAGGAGCAGATGCAGTTGAGGTAATGGTGGTGCCTCATACACTAAATGATGCTGTCAAGGTGGAAGTACTAGATACCAGCCAGCAATGCTATACTGACAGAGTAAAGTGCTCAATCCTGAATCCATAAATACAGAAAGTTTTTATCAAATACTTTCTTAAAAGGGCCATCACTGTCAGTAAAAATTGCTGGATAAATTGTGTTTCTGCCAAAGCAGAATGAATTCACACCAGAATGTTGCTTTGGGAAACTATACCTGGCTGTGACGTTTTTTCAGTGAGAACTCAACAGTGCCCAAATTGGGAATTGTCTGGGGAGAACTTAGCCAGGAATCCATCACTGCAGCAATCCACTGAGCTGCCAGAACCTGGCTACTCTCTTTGGGTCACATGATCAGTATTTAAAGCTGTCAACTGTCAAGGATTGTCAGACTTAGCCACATGTGGTCCTTAAGATGTTTGCTTAAAATATCTGCTTCTACAGTGACTTCTTGAACAAGGAGTAGCGCCATTTGCCCGCACACGTTAGAGTGAAATATTGCAAAATATTTATTGCACCAATATTGTTTTTTGGCTGAGTTTAATTTCCCATGTGAAAGGCAGGAAAATGATAGCTTGAGGATGCAGTTAGTTTCTGATCCCAGTGTCTGTACTGAGCACATCCAGGCCACGAACAGGCCACATTATTGCCAGAGTTTCCCCAATTTTGAGCCTCCAGCACAACCTGGGATGACGCCTCACTGTTTCCTGATAACAGATGGTAGTACTGGCATTGGGTCATATTGTGTTGTGGTGCTGTACTTGTGCTAGTAAAGAGGTTTCCTGTTGTCATTTCTCCTTCTACTTTTAGGAAGTCAGGCAGCATTCTTGAAGAAGGGAAGGCATGATTGACACTTCAGTTCTGAAACCTTTAGAGCTGGAATGCCACACTTAAGACCATAAGAAATAGGAACAGGAGTGAACTGTTTTGCCCCTCAAGCTTACTCCAACATTCAGTAAGAGCATTGATGATCTGACATTCCTCATATCTGAGATAGTAGGAACTGCAGATGCTGGAGAATCCGAGACAACAAGGTGCAGGGCTGGATGAACACAGCAGGCCAAGCAGCATCATAGGAGCAGAGAGGCTGACGTTTCGGGCCTAGACCCTTCATCAGAAAAAATTCCTCATATCTATTTTCCTGCATTTTCCCAATAACCCTTGATTCTCCCTCTGATCGAGATCCTAAGTATACACAAAACCTTTGCTCCAACAAGTCTCGGGACAAGGAATTTCAAAGACACTCAACCTTCCGAGAAAAGAAATTCGTCCTTATCTCAGTCTTAAATTTGGCGCACCTTTATTCTAAGACTATGCCCTCTGGTGTTAGACTTTCCCATGACGGGAAACATCCTCTCAGTATTTACCCTGTCAAAATCCTTGTGCCATAGTCATAGAGCTGTACAACATGGAAACAGATCCTTCGATCCAACTTGTCCATGCCAACCAGATATCCTAAATTAATCTGGTCCCATGAAAGAACTCTGACCTTTCAGAGGAGTATGATTATTATAGTTCAGCTCATTGTTGTGAACAGTATGACCATGATGCCCTGCATTCCTGCTCTATACCTGTTGATTGATTTAATGGAATGCAGAACTCAGAAAATGAATGGATAAGCAAGCTTATAGTTGTAGTCAACTGAGAATAGTGACAAAAGTTGGATACCTGAAACTGTGTTTGTACTAACAAATAAATAAACAATACTGCAAAGTGTATTGCAATAAAAATCAGAAATTTTTTTTTTTGTCATAACCAGCATATGGGTGTTGTATCCTATGGGAGTGCTGAATGATAAAATGATGTTTGGGCACTATCCTGGAATATTCCCATCATCGTTTGGTAAATACATAGAGGCTTAGTTCTGGTCATCATGTCTGCCCTCTAGTGGTGGCAGCATGTTACATATTTCTTAATTATACTGATGTACAGCCATGATTGGATTTGCAGTTTGTAGTAGTTATCAAGGCAAAATTACCTTTGTCGTAGATTATTTATTTGGATTAGAATTATATTTTACACTATTTTATGGCTTTAAGAATAAAGTGCTTACATTTATACTTGGATACTTATAAATACAGGAGATAATTAATATTAGTATGTTATGTGAAATCTTTGATTGAGTAATTAATTGCTGAGGCTACTATGACCAGGCAACATGGTGACATAAACTGAAAACATGTTTTTCTCAGAATCCGTAGCAGATTATTTCCTGATAATTTGTGGTATCAACCCTATCCTTGGTCTTTTAATATAAGTCATCACAGCCGAAAGGCAAAATGCATTTGAAATGCACGTTTACCTTGGTTACATCAAAGTGAATAAAGTGTGTCAAATCTGGGGTCATCCCTGCATGTGAATTGTGATGATGTTGTGTACAGTGCAATTATTTTGAGAAAATAATTGAAGGCTAATTCGAAACTCTGCTTTGGCAGTTAGTGACATTAATTTAATCCTCATTTCTCCTAGCTTCACTTAGATAAGTCCTTTGCTATAACTGAGAATAAGCAGTTCTAGTAGATGTTTGTTTTTGATTCATACCAAGAGTAGAGGTAGTTTAAAAGTACTTACCCACTACTTGTGTTGAGATTATACATTTGATGTTTGAGGTACTGGTCCTTGTACTTTGGGGTCTCACCGTTTAGTATTTTCAGTTTGTATAGACAAAATGCATCCTTTCCGTTGGGGTCAAGTTGAATTCAAAAGGAATGAGTGGTAGTGAAGGGGTACGCTAAGTGCAAAGAAACAGGAGTAGCCATTTAGTCCCTTCAGCCTGGTCCACAATTCATAGTTGAGGTGTGACTTACATCCGTACAAAATACTTAGAGGATGGCCCATTTCAGGACAGATCTATCCTGGGTAAATTAGAATGGAAAATTGGCAAGCAAAACTGTAAAGAATCACTGGACAGCCTCCACAGGGGATGATTAGGCTACTGCTAAGGTACTTTTCCAAAAGTCAGCTCCTCTAGATTATACAAGCCTTAGAGGGTAAAATGACACCAAAAGAGGGGGCATTTGACATGTGCCAAGTTGACAGTACAAGTGAGCATCA